CCTGAGAGATTAAGAAAGATATCCCTAAACCAAAATGCTGCATTGAGACTTTTTGACTTCATATCATTATCATCACCACCACTACCACAGCCGCCATCGTGCTGGTATAAATATTTCTTTTTGCCCACAAGATCCAAACCAGAATAGGTTACAGAATGGGAATACCCATGACAACATGCAATTGCAGACATCTCTCCCTTTGCCACTGTTTATTATCATAGGCTGCACATTCACATATGCCATGGCCTTTGGAATAACGATCCTGCTTCTGCCCTCCTTTCCCGTTTCTCATGCTCATACGTAGTGGTTCTTTAGTCTTCTTACAAAGACAACAGGCAACAGAAAATACTGTGATTCTTTGTTGCACTCTCAGATCTCTGTATTGGATCTGGCTTTACTCACTACTAGAAGTCAGTGCTGGTCTGCTCTTCAGAAAACTCATTTTTTAAAACTAGCACCTATTCAGTTACATTCACAGAGCGCACTTCAGTGCTTGCTGTACCATCAGTTTCCTTTATCAGCAAAAGTCACCTCCTAATCTGCATCGTTTTTGTAAGACTAACAGTGCTAGAAATTATCAGGTTCTATTTCTTTTTGGGAACTCCACGTAAACTGCTTATTTCTCTTCAACCACCAGCATATACAAGTTCAGCACTAGCAACTGGAACAGACAGGTGAAACTGAGCATTTTGTACAGGTTCACAGATGAAAAGCCACATGGGACAACTGATCACCTAGTTTCATCCCTCTATTACGGACTTTGTTTCTTCTTCATGTTTGAAACACTACTTCCTTTAGGGAAAGACCCAACATTGATCTTAAAACACTAGTCTACCACAGTCTTTCACAAATTATTCTAACAGTCAAATACAGTATTAAAGATACAAACAGGAGTTTGTCTAGCCTCAGCTTGCAGCATTGGTTTGCCACAGGCAATATATAGCTCTTCAACACACTGACCACCTCTGCAGTCTCCTTTCCAAGGACTTACTATGTTAAGTTTCCTGCACATGCAGCGCACACCTACAGGTAAGTCCTTCTCTGATCACTGGGAAAATAGCACCCCATGACAGATTTTCACCCACTAAACCAGTTCATCTCGATTGAAGCCTACTCTGTCTGCTCCCTAGCTATTCCCAGGAAAGAAAATAGCTAGGGTGACAGCAGTATAAGCCATTCTAATAATGGTAGTGGATTCCCACAGCCATATTTTCCATCCAGGAAGACTAACTTGTAAAATGGCTGTGTAGCTTACATAAACCAAAGCCAACAGTTTAAAAAAAAGTCATAGACAGGCTCACATACAACAGCATGACAAATATGCAATGGGCTCAGGTGAACTACACGGTGCACGCACAGCATAACTAGTTGTAATCTGCAGAGTCTGACCATTGCTACTCATGAAAACAAACTGTGTGGCCTGCTAAATACTCTGCTAAAATGAAGAGCCTCCTATTAAGATTATTCCTCTCCTATTATTCTATACAAAGTCAACATTTAATCTTCACTTAACCCAAGCTAAATCTGCTGCCTCTTTCCTTTAAAGAGAGAAACTATCTAATTTTCAAATAACTACTTCTACACACTGATAGGTTATAGGAAAAACTCTCATACCTGTCAATATTCCTTATGTACCAACCCCAGAAAGAGATGAAGTTGGATATTTTGGACAGCCATGACCCACCACAATTTCCCACTTTCTGTACCAAGGAGTAATATTTAACAGGTAAAATCTTACAAGAAAAGCTGAAATCAGTAAGAATTTTACACTTTTACACTAATTTGGGAGCAAAAATAAAATGCATCTTTTCATGACAATGTGTCTCTCATGGAGAAACAACAACCAAAATGAGATGTTGAGGGATCTTATTAGTGTTCATCTGAGAATAATCTGAATCCCATCCTCATGAACCGGAGCTTGCTATTGAAACATTATTTACCTTTCAAACCATAGCTTTATACTCCGCATAAATGTTTTCTGAGGGTATATTTGGTTCTCTCTCAAATATAAGAGGATACCAAACAGCTCTTTTTGTAACTCAGCACCTTTCATACCCCTGCTGAAGTCAAAAAAGGCCTGCAGGACATCCAAGGTTGGGATCAAATCCTTAGCCAACATTTCATGGTAAAGTTCAAACGCGAGGTTCATTTCTTGATGACGGCTGGCTGCTTTGATACAGGATTCATAGTTTGTCCGTGAGGGAATCATAATCTTTTTTACTTCTTCCAAAAGAGTCAAAGCCATTCTCCATTGATCTGAATTACTCAGCCCCCTGATAAGAACGTTGTAAGCCCCACTTTCTAAAATCTTAAATCTGATTTTCATTATATCATACACATCACAAATTTCTGAAGTCTGCCTCTGCTGGACACACAATACCAGATATTTGACCAACAAATTATATGGAATGTCACCATTACTCTTTGCCACATGGGTCAGTAAGGACTTAGCCACATCAATGGGGCTGTTGCACCTCACCATACTGTTAAACATCACTTCTTCAAATATTTCAGGCAACGGAAAGCTTTCCCTCAGCCTGTTCCATTCCTCAGCCTCCAAAGGTTTTTCTGGGGGCTGTACGTTGGTAAACTTATGCCTTGACAGAACGTGACTCATTAAACGTTTCTTTGGAGCTCCAACAGAGGAAGAAAAGTGGCATTTCCCTTCAGATATTTCTTTAGTCTCCTCATCCCATCCATGTTTTTCTTCAGAATTAATTTCAGACCTTTTCTTGGTAGGAAAGACATCAGTTCTTTTGGAACCCACTGGTAGTGCAGTGTTGGAAGACGTCATAAAACTGAAATAGCTAACCTTTTCCCTATTGGGGATGCTGAAAGAGACAGCAAATAGTTGTTGGCATCTTGAAACAGGCCAGAACAGACGACATTTCCACAGCAAAGTCTGAAAACCCTGTTGACTAGTTTGAAAAAACAGTGCCATCTCAAGAGGAAATTATCTATTAGCTCACTGTATCTAATGAGGTTATAAAATGGAAAATGCAGTTTGCATGGGGATGTTTATTATAAAAGCCCAAGGGCTGTCAAGCTGTATAAGCTTCAGTTTCAAAGTGCTTGTTCCATAAGTCCTTTCTGCCTCTTATGAAAACAAAAAAATGACAAAATCTTTTCTCACAAAAAAATCAATCTCCTAGACTGTGAGAACATTCATCCAAAATGAGGGTATCTTTCTAGAGAAGACACTTTGCAGGTTTGCAGGTTATCATTTCTGTTTGTTGGTCACTGTAAAGATGAGTGCTGAGTACGTTGTCGCAGACAGGCAACTCTGAGGCAGCCAGGCAAACGCCGCAGGTTTTTTTCTTCCTGCCTTTATCCGAGTCGAGTCAGAAGGTTTCCTAAAAATAAAAATTAAAAATAACACCACAACATCACGAGCTGCTCTGTGCTTTCCTGTCACGTTTACATTTGCATGCTAGCAAACACCAAGTTCAAGGTACCTCGACAATTTCAGGTTAGGAATCCCAATCCTGATCCCTCAGGCAGTCCCAGCACAGGATTCCTACGTTGGCTCCCTCCTACCTTTCAACCTGTGACAAACTTCCGTTTAACTGGTTTCCCCAATCGTAAATCCTGGGTAACGCCGCTGCCAAAAAGGCAGAGCAACACCGCTGGCAGTAATTACGGTGAAATCCCACGTAAACGTGAAGTTATAAAAGTAAGTACCGGGAGGTTCACCGGCAGCCGGCGCGGCTCATGAGGAGGCCCCGCAGGGCCCCACGTCCCTCGCTCGGTGCCCCGCGTGCCCGCCCCGGCCGCACCCCCGTAAACTACAACTCCCAGCGTGCAACGCGGCCCGGCCGGCAGCAGCGCGCTCCCC